AAGAATACAAGGCATAGCATGAATAATTGCAGCTACTTGGCAGTCATTGTAACTTTTCTAAGAATAGCCAGCATGTTTTTTCAAAGCATTAAATTACCTCAAGATCTCATAATTATTATAGTTAAGCAATCATTTCCATTCAGTCCAAGTATAAAAACTAATAAAATGCTCATAATATTGAGTCAATTTTAGTATGTCTGTTCTCTGAGCAAACACAGCTGATTCAGTATATTCTGGTGGAATACATATTTGATATCCTGTTATTTTAATATGCCCTAATCAGAAAATTAAAATAGATTTTGTTGGCACAGACCCTTTTTTTTTTTTTTAAGCGTGAAATAATAATTACAGACTTTTGCTGATGCTCTGAATTTTCAGGACTGGAATATTTCATTAGCAAGAGGTTGAGAAGGGAAAATATTTGCATTTAATACTGCTAAATCTGTCTGCTTTCACTGAGTAATGGCTTGATCAATACAAAGAACATACTTGGGGAAAGCATGTAGCAATTACAGAAAAAAAGAAAGTCAAAAATCTATTGAAAGGACAACATGAAGAGATCTAATTTCCCGTTACTACTGGCAGTTTGGCAATTTTGGAGAGCAAGGACCAGGATTAGTAATTTCCAAAAATAATGTCAAGTTTCTCCAAGATACAAAGATGTTATTTCAAAGGTTAATTTTGTAAACATAAATAGAGCATCAGTATTGGAAGCCAAGTTAAGTAGTTGCCTAAATAAATGCCATGTAATTAATGTTTTCATTACACAAGATACTTGTATACTGACACACAAACGGTACTTCTTTTTATTCTTTTAAAAGGTAATGAAAACACTTTGAATGTGCTTAGTAAGGAGAAGTGATCGTGGGGCTACTTTTTTTTCGCTGGCAGCTTTCAAATATTCTCTCTTCTCAACTGAATCACGGACTTTTTATTTTAATATTTTTTCTGGCAAAAAGCAACTACTGCTGTTTCTGAACTTCCAAGATACTGCTTTTGTCCTCACACTGACTGTAATCTTAATTGAATATCCAAGTACTTTAAAAAAAACAAAACAAAACAAAAAAAAAAAAACAAAAAAAAAAACCAACCACAAAATCAGCTGGAATTCAAGAAAGTTCCTCGGTGCTTTCTTTAGGACACGGAGTGTGATTCAACCTCGCTGTATGTCTGTGTTTGTTCAGGGGACGCTGAAGTGTTGAAAGGATAAGTGGGCTTGCCCTTAATCATCTAAGAATTGCGTGATGAAGAAGCTTGAGATTTCTTCATCCTCATGCAGGCCGTTTTCCATATTTTATTTCACATGCTAGCTAAAATTCTCTACTTCTGTTAGAACAGGGCTACAGAGTTTTGTTGAGTTATTGTCATCATTACTATTGTAATTATTCTAAAATTATTTCATAGAAGTATTTCATAAACTGTGGGATAGTAATTTTTTCCTAGATGGATCTTTTAGTTCCCTTGGCTACTTTCTTAGAGCATTCTCTTTGGAGGTAACTTTTTTGTTCCACTCATGCTTATGTATCCTATTTAAAACTGTTTTATTTTTCTTTCTGCTCTACTCTTGTTTCAGCTCAGCACAGCATGTTTATAACACATGGTATTGCTAAAGAAAAGAAACCGTTAATAAAAGACAAAAAAAACCCCTCAAACCTTGTATCTCATACATGGGAACATACAGCATTAATCCAATAGTATTTTTAACTGGGGCGGGGGGGGGGGGGGATTATCTGTGTTTATGTTCGTCTAGCTTATTTTTGTCTGTCCTACTGCTCTCCCCCTGTTCCTTCATGTTTCTGAAGTGTGTTTTCCATGGCCATAATCACACACAGAAGAAGCTTCAAATGAGGATGTGGTGAGAGAGAAGCAGGAAATCTTGCAGGCATTGGATTCCAGCTATGTTCTAAATTTTGCTTCATAGGCAATTTAATATATCAAATAGGTTGTATGATGACAAGTGTTACATGGAATTGAGAAAAGAGTGGAAAAAATGCCTAAACCTCTGAATTTTTCCCAGTCGATGTTGCCTTTTCAGTCTTAGTAACTATTTGTAATTGTGTTCAGATCGTTTTTTTGTAGTGAAATAAGCTCCCAACTGTAGTATTTATATAAAATAAGATTCTGCCCACATCTATCTGGTTACCACTGAAATGCAAGAAAATAAAATGGAAGTTTTAAACATTCTTAACGTTGTGCATGCCCTTTTGAATACGTGTATTTTGAATACTGACATTTGGTTCCCTGAAATTTGCTGCTCAAAAAGAACTAGCTTTCAGTTCTTTTTAGAATGTTTAGTGGTGTTTGCAACGCTTGCTGTGGAGAATAAGGATATTTGGTTAAAAGAGAAAGGGATTAGTAGGCGTTATTCAAAAGATACCAACTCCCTACATGTAGCAGGTGTACAGTAGTTCTGCTGTGCATGATCTAATGAAAATTAGAGGTTTACAAAATAGAACGTCTCTAGCTTTGGATTGCTTTGGTAAATTTTTTATTTATTAAATTAACATGGTAATCATAGTGTTTTTCAAACAGGGCAAGATTTTTTTTATTCTGCTGTAGAAAAATGTTCTAAATCTTAGTAATTCAGTAACAATACATAGGGTAATATTGACAATAGCATTGAGTTTTGTTCATGTTTGTAAGTTTAAGGTTTTTTTGCGGGGGGGGGTATTTGTTAGGGGATTTTTGTTTGGGGTTGGTTTTGTTTGGTTTCGGTTTTTGTTTTCTTTCTGGGCATGTCCTCAATTAAGTAATAGGTGTTTGAAAAATGACCTCTTTAATTCCTTCAGAAAAAGTTCGGGAGATCCAGGAAAAGCTTGAAGCCTTCATAGAAGCCCTCCACCAAGAAAAGTAGATTATTCAAGCAGGTAATTGTGTGTCAATCATAAAAAGGTTGCCACAATTTTCTTTGTGCTCAGTATAAAATGATTATCCGTTTCTGTTAGGTGCACATGTTTTCATACAGACTTTGTGAAAATTTCATTTTTAATTATTCCAGAGCCTGACTGCTGCTGCTGCTTTTCACTTTTTATCTGCAGATCTGTACTTTCATCTCTTAACACAGACTTTCTAAACTTAATAGAAATACAGTTACTGTCTAGTTATTCAGATATTGCGAAACACCATAAGCTATTTGATTACTCTCAGTTCATTATTTTTAAATCTGTTAAGAGAAAGAGGCATAACTAGCTAGAATCAAAAATTAGGGAACACTTGTCAATAAATGTGTTTTGATTTTTTTTTCCTTAAAGGCAGTGTGTATTATTAGCAAAAATATTTGCATTATTTCCAACCTTTTCTTCTATATTAATTCTCCAAAACATAAGCCTAAATGCTGTCATGTATTTGCGCACATCTTAAAATTACCTCGTTTCTGTTTCAACAGCCACTTTACACAGGAGCGCAGCCTTTTCCAGGTTATCTTGCACAAAGAAGACTGAATAGAAATGGCTTTTGTATCCCATTCTCTTTCCTGTCTTTTGGAGAGCATCATGAGATGTTGCAGGAGAAAGAAAATAATGTCTCATGGGATTGAGAAGTTCAGTGAAAATCCACCCGCTCTTTTAATTTTTGAAGCTATGTGCACATGACAGAAGAATCTGACTTGTGTGTCAATGAGATAGCTTGGGAGCTTGCTGAAGTTGTATAATGAGGGGTTTTTTTTTGACCTGAAAGTTAAAAAAGCTTTTATTTTCAACATCTGTCTTGTATGGTTGAGCTGGATGAGATTCCTAAAGTTATTTTACCTGTTGTCATTTTCTTGCCTGCAAATGATCCTGACAGTTTGACGTAAAGTTTTAGTATTTGTATGTACATTAAAACACCCTTCTAAGTGATGCCATTTCTATTTGTTGTATGCTCTGTGTTGACGCATTCTCTGATCACCCTGGTACAGATTTAAAAGCATGAAATAGAGATCTTGAGAGGAAGTTGTGGATTTTGTTAAACTCCTAAACTCTTGAGGCAGACACATCATCCAAGGAATACTTGTGCTTTCAAGTGAAAGTACAGACTGCTATTCACTGACACCTTAAAAGGTTTGGCTCAGGAAACAATGTCAATAGCTGCTTCTTTTACCCTTTCCTTCCCAATATATGTTGTTACTCTGGAATCATAGCTGATTACATTTCATTTCTGGGATTGCAGACTCCTAATTTCCTTGTTAACTCCTCCTTTCACCATAGCTAGAAAGTAACCTGATTGAGTACATGTTAAATGTAGAAAGATACTTTGTAGAATTCCAAGTCATTCAACCTTCTTAACTCAAAAAGGAAGAATGCAGTTAATCTCATTTTTGTAATAGCTACTCTAAGACCAAAATCACTTCTGTAAGAATGTTAGGCACAAGGTCCTTCCCCACCAATTTGTTTTCTATCATTCAGTATAGTAAAAAAACGGTAAGTAGTCTTACTGCCTTTCAGTTTTGCTGTAGAAATGCCCCTCCTGACAAATTTAGTATGATACAGGCTCTGTATCATAGGTGCCTGGTGATTAATCACCACCATTTTTTTTCTGTCCACAAATGATCTGGATACACTTCTGAGGAAGAAGACACTAGGCCTGAAACAGTTTGTTTTGCAGTTGTCTGATTATGTATATAGGAAAATGTACTTAGGTTTATTTTTCTCTTTTGAAAAGCTATTGATTCTGATGTGTGCAATTAAAGGTGAGAAATCTGAACATTTTTCAACATAACACTCTTTCCGTTTGCTCTCAGAAGAGACAATACAAAATTTGGTGAGATGTTCCCCAAATGTTCAGGAATAAAATCTTTAGTCAAGTGGACAAAAATTCAGTGTAGAGCTATTCATAAAATGCTGTTGAAAGGTTAAATATTTCAAGGTGATCTAACAGTGTTTAAAATTACTTCCTGAAAATGAGTGCTTGAGAACAGAAAAATGAAAAAATGTCTTGTGTTATCATCATTCTCTGAAGATAACTTCAGAAATGTAAGTTTGCATAATTATGAAGGCAGAGTCCTTCGGTTGTATAGCAAACCCCAACAACAAAAAAAAACATACAAAAAACCCCACAACCCAACAAAAACAAAAAGCCACCCAATCCAAAACCAACATAAAAGAACTATTGAATTTGCCTAAAGATCACTGTTTGAAAATTGTGTAATGTAAATATTGCAGAATGTCTCATACAGTGGCCCATTGTTCATCTCTTTTAGTGTGCTGTTCCTACAGTTTTTCTTCTGACTTCTCTGTGCTGCTCATCTAAGACTTAGCATGATGTATTCCATTAAAACGAGGTATTTATTGAATAAAAATGTAACTGAAGGAATAATAAAAATGTGGGATTTGAACACAATATTTCACCAGATTCAGAAATTACTTTAGCCTTTTTCTCATTTGTTAAATTGTGACAAAGTACGCTATTAGTGATATTAAAATGCCTGATTCAGAAATGCTGTGTCAGCACCAAGTTAGTGGTAACTTTACTCTTATCTTTTGCTATATAAATTAATGGTTGCCTTACCATTTATGTAATACATTTAGTCAGAGGGGTCTTACGAAAATCATTATGTTGAAAGCTGTGTCTCTGGAAGTTCAGACATGTCTCTGGAGGTTTAGACAATTGTTGAAAGTATAAATGAAGGCTGTTGTGGAGTGTTACTTTTAGATGCATTTAAAACAAACATGCTTACTGGGACAGGGGGTTTGAGAGCTATAGAGCAATCAGCTTACCAACCCATGAGTTCAGTGTATCTTTTAGTTGAAGAAAAATTTTACAAAATTAATTAAAAAAATTCTATGTAAAGCTCTGATATTGAAGATGCTGCATATGTGCTCCACAAAGCTTAAAATGCAGACCTGGACATGTTAGGATCAGTGAAGGGCTGTAACAATATTAACTTCATTAAACATGATTAAACTAAACAAAAATGGTCTTGTTAAATAAGTAAGGTAATTTTATGCTTTTTTTTTTTCAGGATTTTATGTTAAGGTTAGAACAAGGAAGAGTTACAGGAAGCTGTGCTTATCTCACTAGTAAGTTAGCATCACTTAAGTAAAAATGGGCTTAATGTGTGCTATTAGTTGGTGGCTTCAGAATTGGTCCTTGTAAGGAGTTTCTCGCTGGTTAGATGTAGTTACATCAAGCAGCATAAGAAGGATGTGCTGACTAGTACAGTAATTTTTAGATGGTAAAAAGTTACTTGAGCTGTCTCTAAAATTTATGTGATACTGAAAAGTATGTAATTTCAAACTGGTTTGCATAAGTTTGCATAATTTTTCTGTGTTACATATACTACCTTCAGATTCTGCATTAAGCAGTTTATTGTAAGGAACAAAGACTAATCCGTAACTTCTGTGGCTTTTTGAGGTTAGGGAGGGGATCAGCAAATGCAAGTATAATTATTCCATAAATAGATATTTCATTTCCTAAGCATGTTCTTTACTATCATGTAGATATGGTATTTGCAAATTGTGATAGTATCATAGCATCCTGTCATGCAGTAACGCAAAAAAGGATGTTGATTTTCACATGATCCAGAGCAATCCATGAAATGAGTTGTGAATGAGCCAAGGTTTAATTATTAATGGCCAAGGATTTTTCTGTCACTTCTTCATGAAAAAGGTACAAGTGGTGCTTTTTCAAGTTTTGAAAATTACCCTTTATGAGCAGCTACTACTAAACAGTGAGGTTTATCTAAGTTATCAGACCAAAAGAGAGATGAAAAACTTGGAAATCTGTCAAAGTGTCAAAAGCAAGCATAGTTAAATTAGAGGGTGAAAATGTGAAATTTGTAGCCATTACAAACATACTGGTATGCACTATTTCACCATCAAGGATATATGAATCGGGTTTTTTGAGTATGTTTTGACTCTAAACTGAGTTATGATGTATTTCCAAAGCTAAAGTTTAGTGAATTTAATTTTCTTATACCTTAAATGTAACTTAGTAACTCTCAACAGTCATATTAAAAAATAAGCAAGAGATTTCATCACTTCAGTTGGGAAATACTGAAATACGGCATCCCTAGGTCTGACCCAGGGCTTCTTGAAGAGCTCTGTTCTGTGGAGATTTGGTCCTGGAGATGTCTGTAGGATATTTTTACGTCAGGTAAGATGTTGCTATATGAACTCAGTCTGTGATGATATCTCTGTTTTTGCAGAGTTGCAGAATGAGTTTTCTTTGACTATTTGGAATGTGATTCTAGGTCTTGAGGTACTCCGGAAAATGTTCCAGTCATACTTCCTCACTGCATAGGATGCCCTTGCAGTCACTTGCAGTCTCCAAGTTACTTGTTTATATTAGTTTAGTTTATGTCAGTTTAGATCTATTTTATCCTCTTCTATTTTGTAATTAGTTCAGTAAGCCATCTTCCTTTTCATTCAGTAAGATAAAATGCATTTTAAAGCCCTTGCAAGACATATGTAGTCATGTAACTCTGAAAGCTGAGGTTTGTCAAAAATGCTGTATGTTCTGTATGGCTGTGATCACAGACTTTTTACAGAACAAGGCTGTTACCAAGGATTTTTTAGTATAAAATACTACACAGAAACAAAGGGAAGAACCTGAAAGGATATAGAGATTGTAATGATTGTTCATGCTGCAGTGCTGGAATGAAAAACCTGTGTAGACTTCTGTGTACACAAATCTTGCATCTGCTGTCACCTCAGTGCTGTAGCACATCAGAAGGTGAAATTATCAAAACTGTTGTTCTGTAAGAAATGCTAAAAATCACAGGCATGATTCTAGTTTTGACTGTAGAAGTGATTCAGAAAATGGTCCTGAAAGTGCTGCTGGAATGGCTTGTGAAAGAACTCTAGAGCCAACCTCGGGAACTGTTCTAAAACATTTCTGAAATTGCATCTAGGTAAGTTTCCTGGGTTGGTGCTGTCAGTCAGTGGGGAAATATTTCCAGAAGTGGCTCTAGAAGTGATTGTGGCAATAAAGCAGAGTGCTTAGTCTAGCAACTATTGTAGTGATTCTCACATTGACTCTCAGTTGGGTTCTAGGCATGGTTCTGGAGATGAATCCAGAAATAAACCTGACATTGACTGTGGGACTGATTTCTGGAATTGACTGTAGGTGCTGTTCTAGAGGCAATTCCAGAAGTATTCCTAGCCATTTCTCTTGAAAAGCTGATTACTGTGCATAGCTAGAACTGGTTCTGTTTGTGTTTGTATAGAACTGATAAAAAAGCTGTTCATTTGCTGCTGTTGGAAGTCCATAGGGTCTAAGAGTGCTTCTAGAGCAGTGTGTCCTAACCTGTGTGGTGATTGCACATTCTGACTTCAAAAATGATTTCTGAACTATCTTTGATTAGTGACAGCCCACAAGATGAGCTTTGTTCAAGTTTTTCACCCAAAGGACAGCAATGAACTCTTTGAAGGTTAATCAGTGGTATATTTATTGGATTATAACATTCCTAATATAGGGGAAGATGTGAAGTCTGAATTTAAAGGGTATTTTATAATAAGTTTTATAACAGAAATAATGTAAGAATTCTATCCTTTTTAACATTTTAGACACTTTTTTTTTTTTACCCAGGAAAGAGCTGAGCATCACTGGGCAAGACTGGCAGCTGCCACGTCCTTAGAACTGCAAGGGACAGGCACATTCTGGTTGTGCTCTATTACAGTCAGCCTTACCATCTAGCCTCGTGAAATAAGTGTTAAGGTAACAGTATGCCCCCTATGCTATGATAACATTTGAAACACTATTTGCCTCATCTCCACAAGCCAATTGCCTTTGGGTTTTGATGTTTAGAGATGGAACATTCATTGCAACCTTTCTTACAATGAGTCTGTTCTGGATCATGTGAAAATCAACATCCTTTTTTGTGTTGCTGCCTGACAGGATGCTACAATACTATTAGCATTTGCAAAGAGTTTGCTGTGTCTGATAGTGCAACCCCCAGATCACAGGCTGCTCAGTTTATGTTTCTCTATTATGTGAAAGACACAAAGAAGCTGAAGGCTGGCAAAGGCCTGTCAAATCTTGTAATGTAGCGAGCGACCCCAGAGCTTCATTCTGCTTTATATCATCCCTTGTTCTCCATCCCACCCCTTTCCTTGAATGGGCTCTGAGGTAGGTAAATGAATTCAGTGGTATGGTAGGCAGATGATTCCTTTCTGACCTCATTCCTGTACCATTTGTTTCCAGGCTTGTTGGAGGGAAAGGATATATCTGAACCTTTTGTTTCAAATAATTTTCTTGCAGGTTGGGGAGTTAATGCAGACCTTGTCTGAACTCACCCAAGCAGAAACTGTTCTGGGTACAAGTCATGACACGCTTGGTCCCTTGGAATTGCCAGATTAAAGGAGAAAGCAGTGAATTGGAATTCTTTCACATTTGGCATTCCTTAAACACCTGGATACTTTTTTTTTTTCCCCCTCACGTGCATGTGTTTGTATCCTCCCTCATGCCTTGAAACATCTGTCTTAAGAGCAGTCAAGAAGCAAAGAAAGAACAACCTTTGAACAGCCCAGTGTTAGTTTTTCAGTTGAGGCTGAAGCCGAGTACAGCATATGCTAAAAAACAGTGGATTGCAAAGTGGTATTTCAGACCTATGTCTGAAATTGTCAGAGCACTTCTTAGGTTTGAAGAAAGTTAAGTCTCGTTTGTTAGGGATTAATTGATCTTGGATCATGTGTTTGATGGGAAGGAAATCAATGGTTTCTCATATACCAGGCCTGAATCATTGGAGCAATGAGATCTTTCAGACTAGTTTCCAGAGCTATGCATCCTTGAGGATACTTTTGTAGAAGGAAGACTGAAGGCATGTGATCAGTAGCAAAATGTGAGGTGTATAATATCACCATAGCTACCCTGCGTAGTCATACCCTGCATTTGCTCTCTATGCTGTCAATGCCATGATGTTTGGCAGGTTGTTCTTACCTCCTGCGTAATGGATTCCTAAGGTATCAAACAACACAGAAATACTACTGCTTCCAGGTTTTCATTGTACATAACAGTAAGTTTGCAGTATCCAAACTGTAAAATCATAAGTAAACCAGAACAGGAGCTAAACAACATTATTTCACTCTCAGTATTCATGGAGGTGTTCTGCTGAAATGTTCTGGATAACTTGAACTGCACAGCAGCATACATCTTGTAGGGAGATGGGAGATGCACAACATCTCCACCTACTTAGCCCAGTAGAAGATCCGGTACTGATATATGTATAGCCTTGTGTGAGGCCTTGCCTGCTTTCCCACAAGCAATACCAGCATGAATATTAACTGTACAAGGCCCTTTAAAAAATACGTAAGTAACTAAAAAATTGTAAATTCCTCCACCTCCACCAATAACCTGGAAGGTAATGCTGTCCCTTTTGTTATTATCATGTAGTACCTCTGCTTTAAGCAGCGGACAAAAGATTCATTTTTTTTATCATGGCTTTTATCTGGCAGCTTCAATCAATTAGATCTTTTTGCAAGGAAGCTTTTTTTTAAGCTATTAAATGTTTATTTTATGGCCCAAGGTTGATTGCCACTGGACACTGTTGCCATAAGGAAAATAGTTTCTTTTTTAAAAGGCCTTTTTGCCTCCTCTCAATTTCTGCAGAGTTCATCCCTTCAGCTGGAGGAGATAACGCTTCCTTTTTCAGTAAAAGAAAATAATTTTCCATTGCCTGGTGTCTGAAAGTTAGGATTCAACAAGGCTTATGGAAGTACAACTAGCCATGGGTTATCTCATGAAGGTTTATCTCTGTACACTGCTTTGTTGCATGTTTTTACACACCCTGTTTACTTGTCCTTTGCTTTTCCTGTCAGGACAACCTTCTTGCCTGTCCTCTGCCCTGTTGGCATGCAAATTACATGCACACCAGGTGACATTCTCTGGCCTGTACTGTGCTGAAGTTCAGATCAGGTGCTTTATAATAGTACTGTCTGGCTTGAAAGATAACATAGTGTAATTCACACTACAGCTCACATCCCTTTTCAGGTTAGTTCCCGGTGTCTTGTTTTTAGCTACAGATGTGTAGCACGTTTTACAAAGATACCTGTATCTCAACATACATGCTATGTATGCAAATGAAAAAACATACTGACGACTTCAGAAATCGTGACTTGCTGACTGGTTTCAGCATAGCCCAGAACAGAATTTATTTAAGTATCTGGTCTGAAAGAGAATGCTATTTATTAGGAGATGAGTAACGGAGAAGAAACATTGGAGAGTGGTTCGTGGCTGGAGGCTGTTTTGATGTGGAAACAAGGGAATATTATACCACTTGCTGAAGCTTAGAGCAGCTCCTGGAACCTCACTGAAATCAAGCTTTGTACTGAAAAGGCTTGTAGCCTGTTGGGCCAAGAGACAGGGATTACAAGAATATTCATGACTTCCAAGAATCAGCAGGTGAGACATAATGCATGCATTTGCCCCTCCCCCCTTTCCCCAGCTCATCCTTTTGGTAAACAGTTCATAAAGGCTGGGTTCCCAGAGTGACTGAACTCAGTTCCTGATCTTTTTTTTTCTCCTCTTTTTTTTTCCCCTCCATTCTTTATAAAAAGGATTGCAGTGTTTCTGCCGCTTGTCCCAAGCAGAAGCACGGACTCCCCTTTTCATTTCTAAAGAGCAACTGTGTGGCTGAACCAGAAGTCTTGTGACATAACTTAAGAAAGTAGAATGGTATCTTAGCATCCAAGGCCTCTTTTAAAATGTTAAGGAAAGCCTTTCTGAGAGCTTAGATAAGCTGGAGAGGAATCTCAGTGACATATGTGCATTGTCTTAGGAAAGCATGGGTTGAAGCCAAGTGGTGGGCCTCTGCCTTTAATATACTAGGCATTTGTCATGCCTGCTTCGGTGTGCTTGCTATTTAGTAAACACCCAGTATGTAGAGTCCATGCAGTTAGAAGCAGTTGCAGTATGTGACTGATACAGAGCACTGTTACAGGAGAGTGAGTGGCAGGAGATGGGTAAAGAGTATTTTTTCAGGTTTTCCCAGGTGAAGAACAAAGGCATGGTCTATAGAAGGTTTCACCGATCAAGCTTTTGCAAAACTGTCTCACTCTTTCACTGTAGTATGGGCAGTGAGGGATTCTGATCAATGCTGCTGCTGCCCTGACTGACAGGCTTTACCTGCAGGCGTGAAGTTATATGCTCAGTGTCAT